TCCAAACATTATATTATAAAAGACAGTTTGTCAATGTATGTTTGTAGGGAGGGATTTTTACATAACTTTTAATTATTATTCCAAGCATTTCTAAAACGAGCAATCACAAAAACAAGAAAAATGCAGCAGGCAACTGTGCTAGTCCAAATCACAAAAAACTGAAGGAAAAATATGGGTCTGATTTAGAATCCCTATCACTTTCATTGATTTCCTGGTGCCCAGCAAGTTAACATTTCAGGTGTACTTGAAAAAATATCATTCAGAAAGCTAGCTATAGGATGGATAAAAATAAGAACATCAGACCCATTTATTATTTCCATCACTGGGCAGTTTGGTCAGCGCCACAGTGAGAAGAAAGCTGGGTATCCAGGCAACAGGCTATCCTGTTTTCACTCACCACTCAAACTTACACCCATCATATTCATTTTTTACAGCATGAGACATGTTGTTTTCTTAATATTTGTCCATTATGAGAAAGTGAGGAAGACTGCCATGGCAGCCCTGCAGCACCCTGGACAGATCAGTGCACTAATGGAACCCCAGATGGACCCTCAGGATGATGACAATAGGAAACGCCACAGGATTGGAGGAGGAGAATAGGTGAGGTTTGAATGGATAAAAGGTAATTGGCGGGAGGAGATGGGGGAGAGTCCCTGTGTAGCATGCACTGCTGTTGCTGCACAGCAGAGAGACTTGGCTCAGCTGAGGAGACACTGTGTTTTCTGCTGAGGCTGACTCAGCTCATCCGGGCTAATTAAACCACACAGGGATAAACAAGGGCACTGGAAAATGGAGCCTGCTGGGAGACGGAGCTTCACATTCTGTCTGGGTGGTCGCTGGAGTACAGCCCGTTCTAACAGAAATAAAACTGAGGGGAGCTCAGGACGTGGATTTTTGTTGATGGATCTTCTTTAGGTTTGAGCCCAGAATAAATAATGTCCATCTGCTGGGCTGCTTGTACTTGGCTAGCTGCTCTTGAGACTCCCCTGTCTGCCCTTCCACTAGGTTCAGACGTGAGCTGACCATTCAATGAGCTTCACTGTGGAACAACACAGGAAGCCAGCCTCCCTAAAACACTCCGCCTGAACAACAAGATCCCTAATACACACATCACTATAGAGGGTAATGTGAAGGTGCATTACCTTATAATAAAGAATATCAAAGAGGCACCGGTACTTGACTTGATGTTAAATATGCATGGTGATCACTATGGAGTCTGTGGAAAAATACAGTATCATCATAGCCAGCCAGCCTGTTTACAGCAGGGGTCTCCAACCTTATTTCCTTTGAGAACTACTTTGAAAGAATGAGTGCCTGGCAGCTGCTGTACTCATGTCTTTTATTGCTATTCAAAAATATGAATCAGAAGCTGAATTAACCATTTTCTTTTGTGTAACCAATATCAAAAACTCACATTTTGCACCATCTTAAACTCACACTAGTCATCACATCAGTGTCAAAATGTATTTCTTAAATGACCATCACATTCAAATTAAACAAAACAAAAGCTTTTAGCTTTTTCATCCACATAACACTATAACACAAATCAAGTTAATATTGTTGTAGTGTGAGCTGTTCATCAACACAGTCAACAGCAGCAGCATCTGCAGTGACCAGTTGCTGCATAATAATTCAAATCTGAACACACACACACACACACACACACACACACACACACACACACACACACAGAGAGAGAGTAGAATATACATTTTAGACTCAGGGTCACTCTCTAATTTACATCACAAATAAAATCCATAAACCCACTTAGAAATCATGGAAAGGAGACAGTCCTTACCACTGTGCAATCTGCCTGAGGACTAACACATTTTAAAGCTGTCTTCATCATTAAAGGAATTAATACTCTGCAAACAAACTGCTAATAGCAAATTTGGCTTACTCAGTTTTATAAACTATAAAGAAGTATTGTAAAAAAACAAAAAACAGGGCTCATGGTGTAACTGAATCCATGGCAACACATTTTCTATTTCTTAAGTAAGAAAAGAAAAGATAAAAAGGAAAGAAAAAGTTAATATGTGTATATGTAAGTGAAGGTGTTTAACACATTACAGCACTAACATTATGCAAAAGAGTTGCAAACTTCACTGCACATTGCCTGCAGCATAACTGACATAAACAAACTTGACAGCAGCATAACTCATTTGCTTGGCAGCTCAGTGGCAAGTAATCATTTGGTGTCAAAATCTGAGGGCATCTGTGTATTTGACTGGACTGCAGTTGGAGCTGGTTTACTGAGTGTTGTTGTGTTGTTTAATGTTTGTACAATGCGCCCATGTTTGCAGCTACTGTCGCCTATTGAACCTTTACGTGAGGCACTTAAAAATGAAGAGTGAGCTACTGGTACTGTAGCTCGAGGATGATGTGTTGATGACCCCTGGTTTAGAGTCCTATGGAGAATGAATGTAAGAGCAGCATGCTTGTAGCTTGAAGTCCACAATCATTAGTGTAAAAAGGCAGTTCCATTGCTCTAACAAATCACCGTTAGTGGTTGTGTGGGCATAATGAGCATTAGGCTCAGTACAATGTAATACTATAAAAAGAACATTACAGTACTTGGAAATAGCTTTAACCATAAGATTTCACATCTGACGTCTCTGATGTACATGCATAACATTCAAGAAGCTAATTGTAGCTGTATAAAACGATGAGATTAAACAAAGCCGAAGATCACCTCACATATCTTAAAACCTTACACTCAGTGTTCTGCAGCTTTATTTGATTTGAAATTTAATAAGAGCTTCTGAGTGTGAAATTGTCCCTGAAGTGATTTCATCAGGAGGGCACTGAATCATTTTTCTGTTAATTATGGTTAAATTATATAACAACAAAACTGTATGGGATCCAATTGGGAAAATAAAGTTTTAAATAATTTAACTCAAGCCCACTTCTCATCAGGTTGCCCTGGTTCCTCAACATCTGATGTGGACCTTGTTGACCCGGGCAACATCCGAGCCAGTGTGAGTCTTGTTTCTCCAACTCTCATTGCCAATGAGGTAGGCAGGTAGCATTAAGGGCCTTGCCTAAGGGCCCAGGCTAGATATTGACTGTGCCCTGATCAGAGTTCGAACCCCCGACCTCCCGTACCAAAGTCAGTGGTTAACTTAGTGGGCTACTGGAACAAGACATTCATGGACAAGAGCTGAGAATACTTTGAAACCCAACATCAAGACTAACATCGAAACAACTAGTAGCTCAGTGCTCTAACATCTGCAAGACAACTAGAGATTGACGAGGTACAACACAAATGCTATGGCAAAGGGGAGCCAGGACAACAGGTCGGGGAGGGAGCCTCAGCAGTGTGCCTGAAAGGTAGTCAGAACTGAGGGGCTTGTACTACCAGAAGGCAACAGAGCAGATGTTGAGGACAGCTACAAGTACCTTGGGATCCCGCAGGCAAATGGGAACCATGAAGAGACTGCAAGGAAAGCAGCAACCACCAAGTACCTGCAGAGAGTAAGGCAAGTCCTGAGAAGTCAGCTGAATGGAAAGAACAGTCCGGGCGATTAACACCTACACCCTGCCAGTAATCAGGTACTCAGCTGGCACTATAAGCTGGCCAAAGGAGGAGACTGAGGCCACTGACATCAAGACAAGGAAGATCCTTACAATGCATGGAGGGTTTCACCCCAAGTCCAGCATCCTGACTGTACACTAAGCAGAAAGAAGGAAGCCAAGGATTAGTGAGCATCAGAGCCACTATCCAGGATGAAACAACAAAGATCCATGAATACATCAGGAAGATGGCCCCGAGTGATGACGTGCTTAGTGAATACCTCAAGCAGCAGAAACCAGAGGAACAAGGGAAGGAAGAGCAGGAACCCTCATGGAAGGACAAACCTCTGCACGGTATGTA